CCGTGCAGAATCGTACCTCTCTCCGGGTTTATTTCCTGTGTAGGTTTGCCTCAATCATGACAAAATAATTGCAACCATAAATCAACGCAAAACGAAATCGATTCAGTGTAAATGGAATCCACACCAGAGGCCAGGAGGTCCGGCCCGTCCGCGGAGGATGTCGGCAAGACATAATGTAGTTCGATCGGTTCAGGAGCAAAAACAGATGTCTGTTCGTGAGAATCACTCCCAGTTCTCACAGGAACATAATTATTGCCATGACGCATTGATCTACGCCGGTGTGCACGAGTACTGTTCATCGGAAAGTCAATAAAAACGACAAGTTCATAAACGAACGATAAAACGTCTTCCCACGCACTGACTATATATACATCACACCGCGGGGAGTTTACTATCAGCTAGTTAGTTTAATGAGCTGTATTTCAATGACGGTACTGGCGAAGAAACTTCCTGACTTGAATATGTAACTCTTTTTTCTTATTCCTTTGTGGGCTATGACTTGTAAGGAAATCAGTTGCATCGATACATCTCAAACAGAGAAGTTCGTCGGAGAACAGCGAGTTACATCGATCTCAAACAGGGATTCAAATTAAAATCCGTCAGAGAACAGCTAGTTACATCGATACATCTCAAACAGTGATTCAAAGTTCCTCAAAGAACAGCTAGTACTCTGAGCACGGCTGCTACGAATAGAGCAGGTAGTGAGGATACCAAAGAAACGCCTTCTTCGGGTGACATTAAACTGCACCCAACAAAAGAACAGATTGAGGGCAGAACAACAAAGGACTTGAAAAAGAAAAAAAAAGTCATACGGAGGAATTGTCTCACAATGGAGAAGAACCAAGAAGCAAGCACGAGGTAGAAAAGAGTAACAGCCAGTAGTGGGCCGTATCTGATTTTAAGTGAACACTATCGGCGAAGACAAACCATGACAACCTCTAGGGTGCCCTTAAACTGCTAATTGTATTTTTTTTCTCGTGTATTCAAATCGACTCAATGTCTGCAAAATACAAAATACAAACTGCTCCTAAATTCCTCCATTAGAATTCATCAGTACAATATTGAAAAATTGCTTTAAGCATAGCGTATCGTGTTCACTAGACTATCGGTAACCTTTCAGCATCATTATACTGGTACATACATGTACATATAAATGGCACAGGTTAATGTTGTGTGGTTTCTGTAATACCCAATAAATGGATTAATAGGCTATGAACATATTGGGCAACAGATGTTAAAGCAGTAATAGCAGTAAGTACCCCAGCAGTACATTAACCTACACGGCACACGTCAGAAGTTCATTAGGCCACAGCAAGTAATTTTTATGGATGGCATCAGCGCAGGCATTAATTTTCGCCTGATTTTGGAAGAAAAAAAAACCAAGAAATTTTGTTGCCTTCTGACAGTGGTCACCATGCCAAAAAAGGGCCAAGATGTCTGTTGTCATGCCGGAAGGTGGATAGCAGATAACTATAAAGAGAAGAGACAAGAAAAGGGTCTGATTTAATGGGTTTTTTTTTACTTTGATGCAGTGATATGTGATGCTGGCTGTGTATATGAATCAAAACCATTTGTACAATGATTGATTCAAAATTTTAAAATGTAAGAACCTTGTTTTTTTCGCCCGCTCGCATTAGATTTGGAGTCCGCGGAGGATGTCATCCATAAAATTTACTTGCTGCGGCCTTAAAACTGTTGTAGAGAATTGTTTTATGGACTTGCAAATGAACAAATATTTACAGACTATTTATCGTTCAGCTGTATTGAGGATTATGATCTTGTTAAGAACAGAATGTTCATTAAAATGCAACACCGATAACACATATGTGCCATATTGATGGGCCTGTGGTGATAGTAAATTTTTGACACCTTATCATGCAAGCAAAATATTGGTCATGTTCTGGCGACGTTGCAACCATTTAACATAAATTTGACATAAGAGAGGAATTCGTGTCTATTAAAGCAATATTTGAAATTCGATTTTGTACAAAACCAGGGCTAATAGATTGACTAACAGGATTAAACTATAACTTGAAGCCAAGACAGCTATAACCGATTCCGAGAAACAGTCTAACTGATTTTATACCGTTTGTTACCTGACATAGGCAAGGCCCTCTCATCTTAACTTCGCCTGTAGAGCTCTAAAGCCCAGCCTGGCCGTTGCTGATAGCTGAGTTTTATCTCCTATGACATTTAAACGGTAGTTGTGACCTTTCTGTGCACCATTCGGTGACTTCTCTTTGACCCTATCACCGTACAAACTACCAAACTTACCACTGTTTTCTCCTATAATCTCTGAATGACGTACTAGTACATTGCATGTTTACATCTAATCGTTGCTTTCCGGGAAAGCTGGATATGTTACTGGAATACCTGCGTCTCTGTGGAGCCCTGGTTCGGTAATGGCAAATTAAAATAACATCTGTGCACTTCATTGGCAATAACCTTTGAAACACATATAAAACACATTGACAAGATACATGCATACTTACAAGGTGGATAAAGCCAAGATAAAACAAAAATTCCTTTTTGTTGCTATCACTGATACCCATTGTTAGTAAATACTTAGTTAAAGTTCAAAAACTATTCAAAAGCAGCCCTGAAACGTACAACTCTGACAGCAATTCATGTCATTTATATTGCTGACCTCAACATCAACTGTAGGTTTATAAAAGAAAATCTAGACAGTTTCCTGTACTTTATAAGTTGGACACTGAGTTGTAAATTCTATGAATCTAAACTTTGACTAGATAGAATCATTTGGTTTTTGCCATCTACTTTCGTATCTAGTGCTTTACCAACTTGATGAATTCACTGCAAGGCCAAGGGTACACGACTGTATATGTCATACAGAATACTTTATTCATGTGCCATCTGTCGGCTCATTTCCATAATGCAGCTAATAGACCTATCATGAGTTTTTGATCGGTTGTAGTGGCTATAAAAATCAAGAATTCATATTCATGCACTCAAGTTATAGCATCTTTTCATTTCAATGAACTGTAGAAACGTGCTAGAAAGTCCTTAAAAGAAAATTATTTCTTTGAGATGAGAGTCAGTAATTGTGTTTGAATAGATACAGAACGTAACTCGTTTGGAATAATCTGTTGGTTGCGTGGGCGTGCAAGCATCTCGAGTTTTACACGGCCATCTTTCACTGGCGGTAATTCATGGTTTAACGATAACGCACGAGCACCGATGTGAACTATTATATCCTCCGTCTGTCTCATCAAACTACACCAGCCATCCCTTTAATAGTGTACATGTTATAGTAAGGCCACAGCAAGTACATTTTCTGGATGACATCATTAATTTTCGTCTGATTTAAAAAAAAAGACTTTTGTTGCCCTCTGACAGTGGTGAACATGCCAAAAATGTGCAAAGATGTCTGTTGCCATGCCGGAACGTGGATGGCAGATAAATATGAAGAGAGAAGACAAGACAAGGCTCTGATTTATGGTTCTTTTGCTACTTCTAAATTGATGCAGTGCATTCATTCCTTTCATATGTAATGGATATTGTAATAGTTGTAATAGTAAACTTAGCACAATAGATGTATCATGTTTGGTTCAACAAGGCTTATGATGTCAAAATTTGAACATGTTTTTTTGGCCTGCCTTGTTTTTTTCGCCCTATCGTACTAGATTTGGAGTCTGTAGAGGATGTCATCCATATAAATTACTTGCTGTGGCCTCAGTGTACGTACATACATTTTAAAGTAAGGTCGTCAGAGAGATGAAAGTATCTCCGCAATCTTTAACCACGGCGGGCGCCAGGTCGGCCGGGCGACATTACGACTGTCTGAGAGAAGCACGATAAACGGTTAACGTGTGGGCTGTTTCTATTAAACACCGTCAATACGCTAATGGATCCTCTAGACGTACTTATCGTAAACCGTTAATAAAGACATCGAGGTCAACTGAGGTAGCAAAAGGTTGCCTTTATCCTACTTACATCTGATCATCGATAAAAAGATTTTGAATCAATATCAATCTTTGTGACACGCTTCTTTGAAGTGCTTTGAGGTGACAGAGGTGGCAATGGTACGACATGCTACCTCTAAAATTGAATGATGCAAAAAATAACGGCTTTTGTATAAAAAAACGACGTTGCTCCAATAGGTCAGATGCCCCCAGCTAAAGATGAAACTTAACCTTTATTTGTTATCAGGAAGAAATTTAAAACCGGCAGCTATACAAGGTGTATTAAATGGCTGTGGAATATGATTCAGCTGTTGGTAGCGTCTGAGACGAAATATTATTTAATTACATGAAATTATATACATGTGATGGAAGGATAAAAGTAACACAATAATAACACATACAGTTTGATTCGAATTCCCATACAAATGATCCCTGGAAAAGTAAAAATTCAAGCAATGAGAGTTTTTGCTTCATATCCTTACCAGGCTTCCAGGTCCTGCAAGCTGTAAACCATGCAGTTTATTTTTATCTCATAGATAAACTCAACGCAGAAAACCTAGACGCACCCCTACTAGAACATTCCAAAGTTACTAGCCTCTTTTATGCCGATGATATCGTCTTATTATCGGAAAGTGAGCAGGGATTACAGAAAGCAATAAACACCCTTGGACGGTACTGCAAACAATGGAAGTTAACTATCAACCTGGCAAAAACTAAAGTAATTATATTCAACAAAAGAGGCCTCTTATTTTCTAACCTTCGTTTCTCACTAGATGATAAAGAGATAGAGATAGTTCAATCATACTGCTACCTAGGAGTTGTGTTTACAGCAGGATGTACATTTAGCACTGCCATGAAAAATTTACAAAAGAGGGCCCTAAGAGCAATGTTTAACATCAGAAGTACTCTCGGAGAAACCAGATCCTCTGTATCATTACACTGTAAACTGTTTGACACATGTGTTGTACCGATATTACTGTATGGCTCCGAAGTTTGGGGCAGTAACAGTTTGAACGACAAATCGCCATTAGAAACTGTACATCTGAAATTTTGTAAATACATTCTTGGTGTCCGTAGGAACGCCAGTAACTTCGCATGTAGAGCGGAACTAGGACGTTTCCCCTTACAGATAGAGGCCCATTGCCGAATGTACAATTACTATTTTAGACTAGTTAACGAAGTGCTCCCAAGTAGTTTACAATATGAAGCCTATACAGTACAACAAGAGCTAGTTCGCCGAAATATACCCTGCTGGTTATCTGATGTAAAGAAACTGTTAGAGGAGTCCGGTTTTGCCTACCTGTATTTAAACGGTCACTTAAACACACCCTCCCATCTAAAAGAACTAAAACAGAGATTGAAAGATATCCACATCCAAAAGTTCTACTCAGAACTACAAGCAGAAGGACGAAGAGAAAACCAAGGCAACAAATTAAGAACATACAAAACATTTAAACTGAACTATGAAAGAGAAACATATTTAAACATTACAAACTTCGAACATCGAAAAACCATGTGCAAACTTCGTATAAGTGACCATCCCTTACATATAGAATCCGGTAGGCACAACCGTACCCCTCTGAACGATAGGACGTGCGAATTCTGTGATCATCTATATGTAGAAAACGAGTCGCACTTTTTACTTGATTGTAGTTTATATGAAAATGAACGTAAGGTGTTATTTAATGTACTAGATTTAGACAAGAAATATAAGAAACTGTCCAAGCAAAATAGATTTATACATCTTATGTCAAACAGAAATGAACACATTGTAGAAAAAGTGTGTGATTATATCAATAAGTGTTTCAAGAAGAGAGAAGAAATCAGAACCAAAAAATAGACAAACAGTAACTTTAAGAATTATGTAGTACTTAGAATCCTAGTATAGAACTCAAACATACATTATGTATGTATGCACCACATGTATTTTATACTGTGACAAAGCATGTATGCATTTAGCCCGTCTGGGCAAGGATATGCAATAAAGATCATTTCATTTCATTTCATTTCATTAAAAGATCGGTAGGGGGCGTAGATAGACAGTACGTAAAGTAAGAACGGCTTCCATGATTAGGAACTGCTATGAGTTGGGATGTTTTATGTCGCCCAGGAATTCTAGTTCAAACTGACCGTAACAGTTTAAAGTAAAACGTGTGAAACAATAAAAGATGTTGCAATAGTTTAACTTAGGATAGCCTAGGGAACTGATGGATTAAAGAAGCGGTCTGGATAAGGAAATCGACTCCAGTGATGAACCGGGACGAGGGGGGTTACAAACTCAGCCATGTTTGGGATTGCGTTCTCGTCGCAAAAGCGCCACCTACATTGGCTACATATAGCGGCGAGAAGCAGAACTCCAGTCAGAAGCTCTGAAGAAGGTGTCTGAAAGACACAGAAACGTAAGAAACGTAGGGATATTTGCTTGTGTAAAAGAAACCCTTATATCCTATACTGTACCAACCTGATGAAACTATTTTCGGAAGCCTAGGAAACTGTAACGTATTCCATTTCCGTACTTGTGCTGAGAGCTAGTCCGTTTCTCCGGCCAGTGGATAAAGACACGGCACAAATATTTCCTTTGGGCAATCAGGGACACATTCAGCTGAAACCAGGCACGCAGCTCAGTCGCACATCGCAGAAACCCATGGGTTGTTTCTACAAGACGATGGGTGTTTTGTAAAATCTCACATTTCCACAGTTCAAAGATAAAGAGCATAAACGGCTTCTTAACACCACGTTGTGATCTTTGACCTGAAGCCGAGATTTAGCCAGGAGTAAAATTCTCTTCATTGTTTATTCTGTCGCCAGCCGATCACCAGTACATGCAAAACCCAGGAAGTAAAGAGAAAAGCATTATTACAAATGTATGTATCATATAACATATGGTGCCTGATAGCCGATCTTATTCTATTCTTTATGGAAGCCATTCGCTTAAACTATGAAAATTGCTTGATATGACTATTTATTCATGTGCTAAACATCGCCCTTTCGGATCAATTACGACTTCTCATTTGCCCTTATGGGCTTCTAGTAGTGAAGAAATATCCGTTCATAGCGACGGAAATTGCCTGTCGGGTGCTGCCTTTTCATCATACGCAGAAACTCGGACCTCTAGAAGGCCTGAGCGAACACTATATTACCTAAATTGTCAATATCGCTGGAAGCCGCATATAATTCCGTGTAAAACGATTCACAGTTCAGTGACTGGCCGAGAATTGTAAAGCCTATTACAGAACGTGACAGAGTGTTATGTTGTACGTTACCTCTGACTTATATATTGTAGCAACGGAAGACCAGAAGTATGTTTGTAGACTGGATATCTTTTACGAACACTCTTTGAATTTGTATTATTCAATGAATATTAAGTTTCATTATATTAAGACGCGGCTACATCGAACTGGTTCTGACATTTTAGTTTACTGTAATTGTAGGGGTCTTTCGGAATTCCCCCAAAATTAGCGATTAATTATCTAACTATCGAAAACATCATTTCCACCATAAACTACTTTGCATCATCTCAGCCTAAATGTCATATTGAATTTCGCTTCTAAACATAGTAACACAGAGTGCAGAATTCTTGACAAATAATCGTTAAAATGAAATATGAATTTTTAAGAAAGACGAATGTTCAGCAAATGACACTAAACGGGTTACGATCCATTCTAAACTTGTCCATAACAGCCCATAATGCATTTTCCATAACGCACTGTGATCTTTAAGTTGCTCTGTTGATGGACATAAAACACATCACACCGCATGTACTAAGTGCTTATATCGACCCGATATAGCCTTGTACTAAGTGGATCACTTTTTTCTTAGGAAATATTGCTTTTCCTTCTGGTAGCATGACGTAAAGAATGGAAGGTTGATTAGAAATCGACATTTTGATGCCAGAACAAATATGTTTTAATAGACGCATGTACACACACACACACACACACACACACACACACACACACACACACGCATGAACACAGACACGTATAAACACAGACTCACGTTGTTTCTACGTATTCAACATTTATATCAACAAGGATCCTTGCTAGGTTTTTATACCAGGCAGTAACTCATGACACCACAGTCGTATTTTCCCATTCAAAGGTTTACTACGTTGTAGAATACATACTATATATTTGTACTAAAATGGCTATAACAATGATCACAGCACAGTGAGTGCAAAAAGCACTTTTATACAATTTACAGTTGTATCTTTGTTGTCGAATGACAGTATTGATGTACAATCTGTACATGAAAAATCTATTACAGCGGTTGCTTTCTCTAACAACACAAAGACCCAAAATACATTTCTATTAACTGCCTAGCTCACTCGTAAATCTTTTCATGAACGTTTTATCAGCTAACAATCAGCTTATCATACACTAAAAAGCACTGAACATATTCGGCAGCATGTTTATGACTTCCTCACAAACACCTTTTCGTTTTGCGACGTATGTATAATAATAAGTTTTACGACATAACGTTTCACGGCTACCGTTCCATTGTTTGTAAAATGGACTGCCTGATCCTGACGGCAAGTTTCTTTGCCCCTGTGCGAAATCTCACGTTAGTAGTGGAGTAGATAACACAATTCCAGAAACTGTTACTCACGGCGAGGTACATAAACGCAAAGGAGAGGTTGGGAGGGATTTTGTAGCCGGAGAATTTGGAGTACATGTAGGCGATAAGCATGGGCAGCCATGACACCGCAAAGGTCACCACGACGATCCCGACTGTCATGGCGGCCTTGAAGGACATGACGGGGAACATGTTGGGAGCCTGGGGGAAAACGTGGGCGTTTTGGATCTGCACGGCTTGCGAGCGGGCAATCATGAAAATCTTGCCATTCAGGTAGCACATCACAAACAGTGGTGGTAGGAGGATGATGAAAGCGAAGAGTCCGAACACCACCTCGGAGAAAATGTCCACGGCGCACACGTACATCTTGTAGCTGTACTCGTACGAGCCCCATCCGTACAGCGGGCCAGCGCTGTAGATAGCGGCCACAGTCCAGGATGCGAAGATCATGACCTTGCACTTTTTACCGGTCATGATGTTGTTGTATTCTATCGGCTTGGCGATGGAGATGTAGCGGTCCACACTCAGGTCGAACAGCAGTAGTACCGAGGCCACCATGAAGGTGGTACCGAGGAATCCGCAGTACTGACACACGGACTCAGGGTACACCCAGTGCCCGGCCAGGGACGTCCGGACACTCAGGGGGAGCACCAGGAGACCTAGCCCGAGGTCCGCACAGGCCAGGGCGACCATGAAACTACGGGATATGAAAGAATACGTTTTATTAAGAGGAAAAGTGCATTAATACATTATTATACGATATTAGCTATATTCCCCATACGTTCCGTAGCAAAGTAAATCATAATTAATCCAGCAACAAGCATAGGTGAACCTAATATTAAAATGACCTTACATTAGATGTGGTAAAATTGCTTGTTTTCATCGCTTCTCATGCGTGAACGCAGCAGGGAAAACCTATGACTTACATGTATATGCATACTTTCTAAGAACATTACGCAGATGCTTCAAAATAGTACATCGATCCCACGCTGTTCATATTCTGTAATACTAGCGTAGTTAACAGCGTAGTCAAGCTTACGCTCACAATAAACTTACGCGCAGCAATCCAGCAAATAAAGTATATGGTGTCACCAACGACCATGAAACGTACCTTCCTTTTGATGTTGGGCTTGTAAAAAGGACAGTCTTGTGATTTAGAAATACATGATTATCTGCAAAACGGACTTTCAAATAGACGATAAAGTTTTACTTAGTGTTTCCATTCCGTTACTATAAGGCTGTGCTGATTTGATTATATGGATGACATCCGCGCGCGCATGAATTTTCGTCCGTTTCCAGAAAATGCGAAGAAATGAAAACGAAGAGTCCATAATTCGCCATACCATACCCTGTATGTTTAGTCATTCGTTCATGACCACTTAGATTTCATAATGAACTTTTTGGCCAAACTTTTTTTTATATCGGCACGTTCGCATCAGTTTTGGGGTTCCCAGAGGATGTCATCCATATAATCAAATCAACATGGCCTAAGCTAAAACTGATAATTTACCTTCCTGTCACGTTTCTGAGGTTCTCGTTGTAGAGAATGACGGAGACGTTGAAGATGTTGCCGAAGATGATGAGAGCGCACATCCCGGCCATGAGTCCCGCCTTCAGCGGCGAGGATGGGACCGCTGGCCCGCCCTGCTCGGACGGCGCTACGGTGGAAAAGTTTTCCGCCAGCCACACGTCCTCCATGGTCACGTTTTCAGCGCCCAGCTTGGTTTGAAAGTCGTCGAGTACAACCGTTGGCACGAATATTGTCTTCGGGTACATCATACATCTCTTGACGTGACAAGTAGCATCATTCTGATGTTCTAGTTCTGTTCAAGTCCAGCTTGTATTTGCAGATATCAATCCCATACACTTTCAGACATCACTCTGTATGCTAGTAGTAGATATTTACGTTACATGCGTGACGCAAATCGCTACGGGGTTACGCCTGTAGTCTTCCAACTGTCGTGTCATACATACATATTAACCATGTGCTCGAACTGGCTGCTCCAGACATGTGCTGTTTTTTGCATGAAAAGCGTGACTGGCTTGTGTTGAGTGTTGTAAGAAGATAGCAGTGTTATAAGAAGATAGCAATACGTCGTCCTTTGCGTCCTGCTGTTTATCTGTTGGAAACCAGAGGTGCTAAAATGCCTCCCAGCGTCTCAGCTCGTTGGTTCCGAAGGAGAGAAGAATGACCACCGGGCTCCGATGCGCGGCTGCAATCTTAGAGAACCTGTATTGAAACACGAAAACATCACTTTCAGTTCCAAACACAAGACATAGTTACGCTATGAAAATATCAGCGGAAATGCCCTGCCCTTTAAAACAGATTTATAGCTTTTTCCTCGGTTATGTTTTTCATAACCTCTTTCTCTCAGCAATGCACATACGGATATAAAGAAGAAGGTGATATATTATGGCTAGTGTGGTCGTAAGGCTTAATTTCACATGAAATATTTGCTCCAAACCACCTACCTGCGGCCCGATATGAAAGTGGCAATAACATGAATAATTTATTTAATCTCTTCAGTTTTCCTACGAAAAAATGTTTTATTGATATTTCTCGCCAGATGAAGTTTCATACCGAGAATTTTGAAACGAGTTTGTTTTTCCAGGTTTGAAAATAGATACCAGCTTGCCATGCACGTGTTGCAAATGTCGCCAGGTCAAATGTCTCGGTCACAAAATAATTAACGGCAAAGGAACATGATTAATAAACGTATGAAATAATGTCGTCCTTGACATTTAATAGACAAAACAAGGAATATATCAAACTTGTCGTGCCTATTTGCGTTAACATCTGTTACAATATTTCCTACAGATTATGAGACTATTAAAGCTGCCGTTTAATAAAACAGGTATAGAGAGCATAAATGAATAATCAGAAAAAATAGCCTACATATTTCTATGAAAAAAAAAACGTATAGTAAATTCTTTTATTCGTTTTGTAGGTATTCGTGGGTATAACGATACTTCTTTTATAGGCAATTTGACAATTCAGACATCGTAGTTGGAGTCATAATGTTTATTTTTGACTCTGTACTTTGTGAAGCGATGCACGCCCTCTATCGTCTCACGGTATGAAAACAATTAATTTCTCGCACAGCTTAATTGCTCTGAAATGCTCCACTTCTCGCCCAATGGTGTCGATTTGGCAGAAAATTAAGTTAGCTAGAATATTACAACATGGGGACACTTTCTGACTACAAAAGACCAGGAGTTTGCTGTATGAAATACTGACCTAGAAATAGACCAAATCATGTTTCTATAGATGACTGATCCAGTTGGTTTCACGGAACATATCAAGACACCAAACTCACAATCTGTAAATTTAAATAGAGAACTAGTCACATGGATATAGTCTCACTGTTTAAACTTAAATGGTCATTAAGAAATATGTGCAAAATTGTAATCACTGCATATTCGTCAATGTCTTATAATGTTACAAGTCAGCTATGTACTTTGAACGTCATGAAAAACAATAAAGTTTTTTTAAGACACCAGACTCTGTTAGCGGTATTATAAAAGATAGATGCAAAACGGATTTTTAAGATGCCATAAATACTAATCTAATCAAATATTACTCATTCTCTTACTGTTAACTTTAAGTTTGTTTGAGGCCGCAAGTTCTACCATTGTGTAACAGTCTGCTCGTGTAATATACAAACGACAATAAATACGGCTCATGTTTTAATGTAAAAACTATTAACGTACAGACAGACATACATTATGTAAGACAGCAGCGTCTACTGCTGGTAATCATTACTGTCCATGAGACAGTGAGGATTATTAAGTGATGTACATTAGGGTAATAATTAATGGTTACATTGGCACGTTCTTGAATAATGTATATGCATAAGAGGGTAATTGGAGAAATTTAAAAGCGTTGTCTAAGATGAGACTGCAACACCTAATTTTGACACACTTCATTTAAACTTGAAAACTATGAGTGGCATGCATTCAAACTATTATATACTGCTTAACAACCATTATAACTTCCTTAAATGGAATTATGAAAGCCGGAATTGTACATTATTCCACTACAATGTATTAATATTATTAGTACTGAACGTTGCAAAGTTTAGTCTATTATCTGTACTTACATAAGGCCTGTAAAAATTAAGTCACTCATTAATGATATCCAGTCCTATCATTTTACTAAAGCATTAAAATAACCACCTTTCTCCAGTAATGGATAAAAATAATAACATGTCCTTGCGCATGAAGGTTACAAGATGACTTGCCGTATAACTATTCCAAACTTCAAAGTCATCCGATTATTCGCAGCACCCTGACAATGTCACACCTATCACACAAGGACGCAGACATCTGTCTGACACGGGCAAATTTTACAAAGCGGGAATAATTCCCACCCGCCACGGTGACTAAGAACTTGATCCGAGTTTATGACGTTTGGCAACTTCATCAGTAACAGTCCTGACCCGGGTGGAATCCCTGAAAATTACATTTGGTACGTGCAATATCGGAGATGAAAAGTGCTGCCATCAATCTTACCGAGGTGAATGTTCTCGGGAACACCGGTGCGTTGGGGGTTCACCATGTTCAAGGTTAGGCCACATCAAATAATATTTATGGATGACGTCCACGTGCGCATTGATTTTGGCCTGTTCCCAGAAAAAAACAAGAAATTCTGCTTCCTCTAACCGCAAATCGTAAAATTAATGTGAAACCCGTAACACGAAATATGAGCATAAGAAACAGGACAGGACGACAACTGCTGTTCCACTGATTTAGTGCTGTTTTCATGACGAATGAAAGACTTGTTGGTTGTTACACCGTGTTCTCTCATTCCATTTGTGTCCTAATATTTGTCGTCCCTTAGTATACAGTAGACAAATCTAGACATCTTGTTTTTTCCGGCCCTTCTTGTTTTTTTCGCGCTCTCGCATTAGATTTACGGTCTCCAGAGGACGTCATCCATAAAAATTACTTGGTGTGGCCTTACACATACGTCAAGTACGGTTATGTTATCAGCGCCAATTATAATTTCTAAACCACCATTTTCGTGGTTGACTTCTTAGGTTATATGATGGAAGAACGAACACCTGCGTCTTCTTCGTTGATGACACCAATGAGATGGTTAGGGCGTTTCTCTGATAGATTATTGGCTGTACAGAACAAGGTCAGAGACTCGTATAATACGAGCTCTGAGCCACGCATTACAGAAAAAAATGCTTCTTTCTTATTCTCCCCTTGATGTTGGTGTTAAATTAATTTAGCCCCCAGGTAGTAATAGTACTTAATTTCCATCCCTAAAGACCATACATAAGTGATGCAAAAAATGTTTAAAGCATGTGGTAAATTATGTAAAATGAGAATATTAGTAATGGCCTTAATCTAAAAGTCCAGAGATGCAACAAATAGTGTAACAGTCACTGCATGTATTATTGTTATATGAAAAAAGCAACCGATGGCTTAGTATAAATCTATATACTAACGTTATACTCTTTCAAGCAGCTGCAAAATGTTAAACTAAGGCTTGAATAACAAGCGATTATGTTTCAAAGTTAAATCAGGATTGGCAGAAAAAAATGCATTTTGTCAGGATAGAATAACAAATTGGCAATCAGCTAATTAAATAAGTATTGTTTGCGTGCACACATCGCCACTAGCATGATAACTAGACACTAACCTTACACCTCGATGCCATGCCATGTTTGAGGAAGGTCGTCTTACGTAACACCCCGAAAACTGTTTACCGACCAAATAGACGAAACCTACGCCGCAATTTTCCCCGGGAATGGAGCTTTAGTGTTGGATTGCTACCATCTAGTGCGTAAACGATGAGCTTCACGAGTCTGGGAGCTGAAAATTAACGTTCAGGATAGCGACAAAACCGCCGGTTACATGCCGTAAGGCCGACTATTTCGGGCAATCCTTTAAAGCTTAAGCAAACATTAGGACGTGATCGGTTAGCAAATTTGCACATTCTCCCCCAATAACTTGTCCTCGGAGGTAAAAAGTTAGGCCATTCTCTCTACCAATCAGAAGTTTGACCCAAAGTTTGGGTTACCTAAATAGATGGTGACAATAATCGCAAGAGCAATGCTTACCACATACTTCCCGTGCATGCTATGAACCTCGCTCAAGGCTTGTCGGAAACACCTTATTTGCAGTAGAGTAGACTCGGGGTACAAGACAAATGTCGTCCTTGCCTGCACGTTTACATCACTGTCTGACTGAAAGAGGTGCCTACGATGAATGCCGCCACTGTTTCTGACCGGAGCTGGCCCAGGCTGGAGCCGGGCCCTGAATCATAACTCATCTGACGGGGCCTGTTTAAAGAGGACAGCCTATTTAGTAGAGCGGGACCCATGACCGTAGTCGATATCACATTCGGCCAGCTAAGTGGACCTCTTTGTTCCCTGTTTGACAGGACGACAGTTCAATAAAGCGGTATTGAACAAGAGAAGACTAATATGAACCTGGCCTTGGCTGATAAAATAATATCGATGGGTGGACGCAAATGTACCATGTTCACATCTTCCGTTTATTACATTTGCCTAATACGGGATGTGCAGGTACGGAAGCTATTTTCACTTGTTCATTCTTCCGTACATTCAATTTCATCCGAATAAGCTGCCTAATGGGACATAACATGGCTTAGTCCGTGTCGGTGCATTAGGCATTGCCAGCGCTTTTCCCTAGTGACAAATGTGTCCATACCTATGTGTGAGTGA